TTACAGTCGGTTCGCATAAGCAGCCAAAACTCACATTGCAGAGTTGCGTCCCTTGGGCGTGTATCAGGAACATCGGAAGAAGTACCAGGTTTGCTCTGATACCGTGTTTGTGATGTTCGCCAAGCCTGGAAACGTCTGTGGTCTTACTCATTAGGTTTCCCTTCCACAATACTTAAACTGGCACTGCATGACATAACTGCATCACTGTTCACACTAACGCTTAGGCGGTTGTGGTGCCTTATGGTTAAACCTTCGCTCGCCATGCAGACTGATCGTGAATTGCAATGTCATGCCCAGCTCTGTTGTCTCCGTCTGTGATGGCTAAAACCATACCCACTGTGGCGTCCCACCATAGTTAATCACTAGACATATCACTGCTGTATGTGGGGAAGCTGGGGTGACCCGGGTAGGAACCACGACATCGGCGTTCAACCACGTCTACAGCCTAGTTCTGACTTATCGCTGCTTTATGTGGGGACGAGGTAGACTCGGGTGGGAACCATTTTCTGGGGAAAACCACGACATCGGCGTTCAACCACGTCTACAGCCTAGTTCTGCCTTATCGCTGCTTTATGTGGGGACGAGGTAGACTCGGGTGGGAAAACCAGAGTTGAAATACAAAGTACCGTAACCTTAGGCAATCAATAAATTTCGACAGCTCATGATCACTGAAAATAGTACAAGACACAATCAAATACTGTTTGACTTTACTTGGTTGTGAGACGCACTTTCAAATCCACAATAACTGTTTTGAACAATCATGGTCATGACTAAATGATATCATTTAGACAAAGGCTATAAATATCGGTTTCAATTGGGAAGTGAAAAGTTTCTGGAAACAATCTTTGTCGATTACTATAAATAATTCATAGTGAAACCCGTTGACTCGTTCAAAGCCCTCACGTGAGAAAGCACGTTGAACAGATGTCTACAGAAGATATTGACATGCGCTTCACACTGATGTTCTATCTACTGCAGTTAAAGGCATAATACTAGTCTACAACTGAATATTATAGAGGGGTGGGGTGTGGGGGGGAGTCATTGTGCCTGGAATCTGTTTTTCAAGGGAAAATATCATATGTCCTCAGATGTTTACATTACATCGACTGCTTGACATACTGCAGAATCTGGTTCTTACCCTACGTTTCAGAAAAATGTAAATTGGATTCTCTAACAAAGAAAAACTCCAGTATACCAACAGAATACAACATGGTTGGTTGTATAGTGCTGGATATGCCATGGTTCACAGTTTCAATTCTCTTTAACATTCCATGTATTTCTTGAAGGCAACTGTCTTTGTTCTGTTGCCAGTGTCGGCAGTGGTTAATCTGGTGTGCATTTCAGATGTCCTTTTCTGGGTGACAGCGCGAGTGTTCATGTGAAATATACGAGATTTCAGATGGAGAAACTCATGAAACATGTATGTCTAACGATTAAGATGTAAAGGTCATGTTGGAGCCTGTGGAAAACAGAAACGCTCAACCATCCTCTGTACGTATGTCGGCTGGGAAGCGTATTGGTACAACATTCAATATGTTCACATATATTAGCTGCTATATATGTTACAGTGATCATGTCAAATCAGGGAATATGTATAACCCTTGACATTTTCAGGGAATATATGTAATGTGTGATTCACTAAGGGAATATTCTAACATAATCCCTATAAGTTTCTGGCATTATACATGTTCCCCTCACTTAACAACTGGCACAAGTGGAGGGCAAGGCTTCATACGAGGTAACTGAGCTGGTACCAAGAAATGTCAGAACAACAGGTGCAGATGTTTCAAGGCGTAGCTGCGGTACATATCTCGGTGACATCAGGTGTGTCACGTAACGGTAAAACATGGGAGACATGATTGGTCGTGTTTGAATTCTTGCGTATTACTGCAAGAGCGACAATGTGCTAAAGTTATGGGCCATTTTTTAAATGAATTCTACAAGGACACTTTTGCCGTCAAATTTATGTTTTTTCCATGTAAGGTGCACAATTGTTCTCTCCTGGAATGACGTGGTTGCTGATTATTTTTACGACGCTGTAAAACATTGACGTGTTAATATACACTGTCATAAACATCGCATACCAGGCACTCTTCCTTCTCCCCATTACCTAACCCTCACTCCACGCCCATACCACACACACACACGCCGCTACACTACTTCAGACACACATCGCCACCACCACCACCACCACCCTCCACAGGGCTTGTGAATAATGAAAATAAGCAGCTTTTAATTTCAGCTTCAGGAAAAACTCTACCAGCAGCTCGGATAGCAGCAACTTCAAAGTTTGTCTGTATTCTTGCTGGTGTCAGAGGTCGATGAAGTTTCTGCTGTTCATAATCATTCAGTAGGGTGAAAAGCCGTGTGTATGTAGCCGCCGTGCCATCAGGTAGTAGACCAAGGGATAGATGATGGGTCCTTGTCTGGCGTGAATGATGTAGATCTGGACAGGAGGTGCATGTGCCGCCCATGTACATGGTATCTGCTGACTGTTGTTCTGTGGTGCTGAAGGTCAGTATCTTGTCTGCACTTCCATCATCAAATAGCAAGAAAGGTTGTCCTTTTGTTGCTGTAGACCAGTTGTCAGTCAGGTTGGCCTCATCTCTTGTCTGTGGGAGGACAGGTATGCTCTTCCTTTGGTGTCTGTAAATGAACTCTTCATAGTTGGAAATGGGGGCAAGGTGGGTATTGTCGTTTCAATTTCATTTGTGATTTAATCATTGTAGACGGATTGCATAGGAGCGGTATCTTTCCTGGCTCGCTTCTGGAGAGACCTTGATAAACCTAAGCTTACCTTCATCCTCTGGGGCATGGATAACAGTTTTCCTTAGTTTCAACTAACCGGTTGAAGTAAACTGTTTTACGAAACTGCTATGCAGAAATATCAAATTGGGACATCGCCATCCTACTTCACACTCACACGTCGCCACCCTACTTCACGCTCACACGTCGCCACCCTACGTCACACTCACACATCGGCACAATACGTCACACTCACACATCGCCACCCTACTTCACACTCACACGTCGCCACCTTACTTCACTCTCACACATCGCCACCCTACTTCACACTCACACGTCGCCACCTTACTTCACTCTCACACATCGCCACCCTACTTCACACTCACTTATCGCCACCCTACGTCACACTCACACATCGCCACCCTACGTCACACACACACACATACATCGGCACAATACTTCACACTCACACATCGCCACCCTACTTCACACTCACACGTCGCCACCTTACTTCACTCTCACACATCGCCACCCTACTTCACACTCACTTATCGCCACCCTACGTCACACTCACACATCGCCACCCTACGTCACACACACACACATACATCGGCACAATACTTCACACTCACACATCGGTACAATACTTCACACTCACACATCGGCACAATACTTCACACTCACACATCGCCACACTACGTCACACTCACACATTGCCACACTACTTAACACATCGCCACCCTACTTAAAACACACACATCGCCACCCTTCTTCACATTCACACATCGCCACACTACGTCACACACGCTCATCGCCACCCTACTTCACACTCACACATCGCCACCCTACTTCACACTCACACATCGCCACCTTACTTCACGCACACACATCGTCACCCTACTTTACACTCACACATCGCCACCTTACGTCACACACACAGATCGCCACCCTACTTCACACTCACACACCCACGTTTCCATCCTACTTCACACTCACACATCGCCACCCTTCTTCACATTCACACAGCGCCACACTACGTCACACACGCTCTTCGCCACCCTACTTCACACTCACACATCGCCACCCTACTTCACACTGACACATCGCCACCTTATTTCACACACACACACCGCCCTACGTCACACTCACACACGTCGCCACCTTACTTCACACTCACACATCGCCACCCTACTTCAGACTCACACAAGTCACCATCCTACTTCACACTCACACATCGCCACCCTCACTTCACGCACACATCGCTACCCTCACTTCACACGCCTCACACATCGCTACCCTACTTCACACACACGTCGTCACACCGCGCCACCTTTTACTTCACACTACGTCACACTTCACACACTTGCATTTGTACCGCCACCTTACTTCACACACACACGCACACGGTACTTCACACACACACGCCACCCTACGTCACACCCACACGTCGCCACCTTTACTTCACACTCGCACACAGCACTTCACACAGCATGCCCCCTACTTCACACTCGCACACAGCCACCCCTCACTTCACACCGCCCCTACACACACTCACACACTCTGCGCCCCTTACGTCACACACACACACCGCCTTACACACACACACACCGCCCTACGTCACACCCACACACGTCGCCACCTTACTTCACACTCGCACACAGCCACCCTACTTCACACACACACACCGCCCTACGTCACACCCACACACGTCGCCACCTTACTTCACACTCGCACACAGCCACCCTACTTCACACTCGCACACAGCCACCCTACTTCACACACACACACCGCCCTACGTCACACCCACACACGTCGCCACCTTACTTCACACTCGCACACAGCCACCCTACTTCACTCACACATACACCGTCACCCCACTTAACCCTACTTCACACACGCCGTTACACTACTTCACACTCACAAAGTATCATACTCACACTCATTCACCGCCGCCTAGTTAACCACACTCACATACTTCACCAACTAAACCACTCCAGCCGACTCTCATTCATCTCCTCACCTGCTAATGCTAGGCGAAACACGGTTTTCAAAACTGAAAGCCGGTTGTATCAGCATTCTTTCTACAAGGTTCTATTTGGATTTGAAGCCTCATATTATATATAATTCCTAATCCCAAATGAACATTACGTAACGAACTTACAGTAATACATGTGTCATAACGGACATAGAGGCTAACACGGTCACGTCAATCACATCACACAAACAGTCCCCTCAGTGAAATTCCTCTCAAAGCTCCCGGAACTGACGGCGTGAATAGTCAGGGGGACTGTCGCCATCTATAGACAGTCTACACTGTACTCCTCCCTTTACGACTTCAGCAACACCGTGACCTAATGTAGAAACCAGTCATTTTGCCTGATAAAGTTTCTATAGATCTGCCCAGCATGACAGAGGCCAGTAAGGATGTCCCCACGTCAATATGCCCGCCAGTATCAGGTATGTGACCGAATTATGTAATTATGTATTAAAAAATAGATTTAATTAGAATTTTTTTAAGAATTAATATTTACGATAAGAGCTCATTTACTCCGGCGACGCCTTTGACACCAGAGACACATGAACACTTTCCTAGGACAAAATCATGTGATGCAAACTTATCGTAAATGCTATGAAAGTTTGGATAGTTACTGACCTTGGATATATGAAACATTGTTATGATTTATTGAACAAGGAACAAAATCCACTGTTGTAATAAAGTAATGTCAATGTCATTTCAGATATCTGGTTTATATATGCCAAATAAGGGACCGTTCATAATTTATGGCTAGGAGGGTGATGATGATTTTTATTGAGAAACATGTAAAATGTGAGTGCCCCCCCCCCTGCTAAAATTATGGACAAAGTAAGTGACCCCCCTGCATGTCATGTACAAAATCAATGAGCCCACCCTCCCTTCCCATATTTTTAAGCATACTCTTTAAATATTTGTATGTACAAAATTGCTCACCCCTAGTACATGTGTACAAATTTGATACCCCCCTCCCTACGTCCCCAGAACAAAATGGGTGACCCCACCTTAAAATCATCATCACCCCCAAGCCAAAAATTATGAACGGTCCCTAACTGTTACATGTTTATGTTGGATGAATACTTATTTTGTGACATTGGCTAATCTGTACATGGGACGGAATCTATTTTATTCAGAGAATGAATATTGTTTATTAGTTAGGAATATTGCAGCTATACCGTGGTAACCTGTAAGTAACCGAGTGTTGGGAAGGTGAACAAGAGTTTGGTATAATGATGAGCTACGATCGACACCGCGCGTGGTCCTGTGCTTAAAGCTCAGGTCACAAATCGGTGAAGTTAAGCAGCGTCGAGCTCGGAGAGTCCTTGGATGGGTGACCGTGTTTGGCAGCTTGACTCCTGAGAGTTTCTAGGACTTGAGTCCTGCCCCACAACGAAGCACATGTGATACATGTGGTCTCACCTTAGGCAAGTGAGTTTGTTCAAAATTGTCTCTGTTCACCCAGCAGGAAAATGGGTACCCGGTGGAAAAAAGTCATATGACTATAACCTTCTAGCGCCTAACAGGCAGCTTGGGTTATCCGGGGTAATAATGGCCTTGATTGTTAGCGCTATGAGCATACCTAGTGTGGAGTTTGGCGCTATATAAATGGACACATTATTATTATTATTAAGGGAAGGAATAAATGCTGTGACCACCTGATTCCCCATTAAGTGGCATTTTGGCTAAAAGTATTATAATAAGAGTGCAAAGACGTGGCACGACTTATACCCCACTACATGCTCTCTCTCTCTCTCAAGTTTGATTGAAACCAAATCACAACGTTATATGATCTTAAGTGAAACATTTTAAGGTGAAGTTTTCCTGATAACAATGTCTCCGTTCACTACAGGCATGTACATTAACTTGAAAATATTGGTTATGAAATTATGGTCATACTATTCAAGTGGAATAGTATGTCATATGTTTCATTACTATCACTGATTTTGGTACTGTACTATTTACTATAGATCCAACATTGTATTTTAAATATAATCCCCCGTTTACTGCTGTGCGTCTCTGCGTGGACAACTTGCTATCACTTGTATCGTGTCAGCTCTCAGGAAATTTCCCAGATACTTTATCAGGTCAGAGCAGAGACCATATAATAGATCTATTTAGGTCTCTGGTCAGAGCAGGAACCCGTGCATTCAAAATCAAAATCGGACTCTGTACATAGCAGGCGGGAAGTTCCATCACATTGCTGGATGTAGAAGACTGTACATTTTACTCTTGTGACAAGACGACAGTTTTCTAAAAGGAGGTATGTATATTCACATTATTATTCTTCAGTCAAATTCTATATCTTGCCTTGTGATCGTGGCATAAAATCTTTGTGACGTAGTGTTAGAATGTTACTACATGAGTACTAATGTTCACCAGATCAAAATCAGTAGTACAAGTAAAATGAGATAGCCTGTTTATATAGGTTTGCAGAGTGGTAAATAAATAAATGCACATTCATATCCAAACTATGTCACAGTATACCTGTGTTTGCAAATAATATAATGTAGAGTCATGGTGATATCAATTAAATTACAAAGAGACGTCAACTATTAACTTGACTATAATACCATTTATTACATGACAAAACTGTAGACGTGTGTTTTCAAATAAAGGATTTTCCCCTATTTATTTCATCCCCATATCCAATCTGTCGACACAGATTTGGCCACGTAGACACTCGTTGCTTATCAGCGATGTACAGGAAATCGGGGGATAACATTACATGCGAGTCGGTGACTCCAGTTCGTTATTTTATAGCATAAACAATACGTCACTTCCCTAACAAACAGACTATGATTCCTTACAACAAATGTCAGCCCCATCATAAGTAAATACTTTTAAATAAAAGTTCATCCTGCCATTAAAAGGCAACTTATCATTTATAACTTGGGACAACTGTAAGAAATACACAATATTCAGTCCCGTAAAACTATTGCGGGTAAGAATTTTCTTATGTAAATGATGCCCGTTTTGGGGGGAAGTATCTTACAATATAATCAGATGAAATCACTTGCACAATTTGACAAATTGTTTTTATTTGGTTGGTAATAAATTTCTACTGCATATGATTAATGGCCGACTGAGGTTGATTGATCTGGGTGTTTTTTAAGTTTTCGATAAATACTGGTTGGAATTTGTACTCTTCAACATAGTTTCACGACACAGAAACATTATGTAGCAGTAATATTCCAGCACCATCGAGTCTGGACCAGACAAGATCAAGTGAGCATCGGACAGTAAATATTTATAGAATTTCTTTTGCGTTTATTTCAGAAGCCAACACAGACGCAAGAAGAGCCCGGTGACAAAGATGACTGATCATTTTCCATATGTATTGATGAAATGAAGTATTCTTTAAAACATATAATTGTTTTGTTTTCGTTTTCACTAATAATAACGGATGACATGATTAACAAATTTACTTACGTGTATGTATTTATTGGACAGATTCAAAACACTTAGTGTTGGTAAATTAGCCTTGCAACAATATCAGAAGATGATATCGTTTATGATATCTATACAATCGGAAGACGGTTCAGCCCAAACGTTTCTGAAACGTTTTGGAAACCCAATGGAAAAACGTTTCAAAACGTTTTAGAAGGTTTCTAATGTTTCTCGCCAACGTTTCGTAAAAACGTTTTTAAAACGTAAAAAAACCTCCACAAAACTATGTTTTCAAAACGTTTTTGGAACGTTTTTATAACCATATGGAAACGTATTGTGATAAACATCGATCCACGCAGTCGGGATAGGATGACATGCATCAACCGAGTCAGCGAGTCTGACTACCCGATCTGTTATCTCACACGACAAGGATGGGTTGCGGAAGACCAATGTATGCCCGGGTCCTTCCAGGTAGAGAAGGTTCGGTGATTTGGTCGACTGCGTGTCATTCTTTCTTGATGACATGAGACGCTACACTGTAATGGACGTTGGTTTTTCATATTACAATGTAAACAATACCTTTTACGCCTATATAAATGTTGTGCCTTTTTCCCGTCAGACAGAACACGTGACCACATCAAGCAGTGCATACCACCTTGTTGTCATTCCACTGTCTACCAGCCGAACACAAGCAGTTTATAGTGTGTCACAATATGGAGTGAGTGAGTGGCAGCAGTGATAGGTGGTAGGTCCCTTCCACTGGGGAGATGGCGGAAGCTCTGCTAGCCCCTTAGGTAGTGAGTGAGTTTAGCTTTACGCCGCCTTTAGAAATATTCCAGCAACATCACGTCAGGGGACACCAGAAATGGGCTTCACATATTGTACCCATGTGAGGAATCGAACCCGGGCGCAATATGGAAAGTAGATTAGACAACGTATCATTGTTGAAATATGAAATGATAAAATGTCATTACCAGTAAATGACAAACTCAAAACAATGTGTACTAGTAGAGGACGAATGAGTCAACCTCCGTTGGTCAGGACATAATCACGCTCTGAACAAAAATCTTCCCATTTCACAAAGAAATCCGCACGGTGTTTTATTTTAAGGAAGTTGAAATATAAGGCCACTCACTCTTTGTTTCCATCTACATTTCTGCATGTAAAACCCCTGATCAACAGTTGCACTCACGAACACTTTACATACTGATACATATTCATATATTTTATTCGCATATACTAAACGGAATGATAATTTGATGATATAAACCAGCTGTACTGTGTGTCTGACCCATCTCTGCACAATGGAAATAAAATGGGTATGTTCTCTTGTCACGTAGACCTCAATACAACGGACATTATAGTCTGTTTGCAGTGAAAACGTACCGATGAATTTCACTTTAAACAAAAAAATAAATCAAATAACGTGAGATTAAGATTGCGAATCCTCATAATTTTACCTTGCCAATTGAACAGTTAAATCTCAGAATTTTATTCAACTTAGGATAAAAGTTGTTTAACAAACGATCATAGATTCAAATGGCTTTTATTGGTTTGTATTACAAGGGGATAAGCGAAGTAGTTGGAACAGTGAAACAAATGCACGTGCGGTACCTGGTGAGCGTTAACTTAGACCAAATCTACCCTAGACCAACCCTATTTCTCGGTGTTTCATTTAATGTGCATACCCACATGCCGAAATATCCTACATATTGTGTCCTGGTACATTCTCCACTGATTCTCTCATGCGTCACAAATGTGACTGAGTGAACTCTTGTCCACCATACTCGGGGAGGAAAGACAGGAAGTGGCCGGAAATGACGTGAGTTTCAGAGTTTGTCACTACCAACTGGCCTGCAGTAGTTCGCTCCAACTTAATATCTAACATAGATAAAGTGTTGGAACAATGTCTCACATTGCTGACGAATGTGAAGTACAAGTGCACGAATGTAAGTAATATTATTCATCAGTGTAAATAATCATTCATTTCTCAGCTTGATACAACAGCCGATTTGAGGGGCAGACCAGGAGTGATAATGGCTTACAGTGGCTGAAGTTGAAGCTGCCATTATTATACTATACCTCTATATGTTGCCTGGTTTACAAAGTGAATTTTCCATTTATAGAGCCAATGAGAGAGAGCGGGGGTTATCCTTGACCATGGGTTCTCATGTTTCACAACAACACATATATGTCCGTGGTTTAAAACAGTTTCGTATTTGTATACTACTGTTATACGGAATATACAAGTTCACTCTGAATTATGATAGAACTAAATGTTTCAAGCAATCAGACGCGACATCCCGAGAGAAACGATTTGTTGCACATATTAAGGATTCATCCAGTGTAAGCTTTTGTTGACTGCAACATTCCCCATCGCTGACTATGACACGCACAGTGACACGGAAACAGTAACAAGCACCTGCTCACAGCAGGAAGGTCAGTGTGCGGAATGTATTCAAGGCGAGACTAGAAAGTACACTACGACGACAAATTAAATGTATTTCTCCTTTAACAAGATTCTGCCTTGGGAAGGTGACGATGACCTAGATAAGGGCGGAACATAACGTGCTGTCTTTGAATGTTATCAATATATATTAATATTGTGATATTTCTACGAAAATGTTTTCAGACTATATATGTTCTCTTTACATTTTATACCTTTAAAAGCGTAGAAGACATGAATTATTAATGCTAATGCCAAGTATTAGCAGAATGATAACTAGCGGCGGTGGGGTAGTCCTGTGGTTAAAGCGTTGGCTCGTCACGCCGAAGACCCGGGTTCGAATCCCCACATGGGCACAATGTGTGAAGCCCATTTCTGGTGTCCCCCGCCGTGATGTAGCTGGAATATTGCTAAAAGCGGCGTAAAAACCAAACTCAGTCAGTCAGAATGATAACTGCACGCGGCGAACTAACTGCATGGACGCCTTTTTCTGTAAAACGTCACACCAAAACACATCCCATACACGCGTGCGTAATAATGAAATCACACACATTACAACCGTAACAGAGTCAACAAGATTTATAGAAAAAATAGCTCAGAGATCAGTCTATATTCTTTGAAAGTAACCCATGCTTGTCATAAGAGGCGACTAACGGGATCGGGTGGTCAGGCTCGCTGACTTGATTGACACATGCCATCGGTTCCCAATTGCTTAGATCGATGCTCATGATGTTGATCACTGGATTGTGTGGTCAAGACTCGATTATTTACAGACCACCGTCATACAGCTGGAATATTGCTGAGTGTGGCGTAAAACTAAACTCACTCACTCAAATACTCTTGGACCCGACAGGACGTAATTGTTGATAGTTGGATTTGCGTCTGTTTCAGCTAAACACGCCAAATACATCAAGGCCCACTTGAAGGAGTTACGGGACCAGTGTAACGGCTTCAACCACTGCCTCAACGAGCTGTACTCCCAGGAAAATACACTCCTCATCCTACAAGGCAAAGACATAGAACTGACACATATCTGTAGGTGGGTACATACACGGTCATCAAGGTAATGTATTTAATGTGATTATAGCGCGAGCAGGGAGAGAAAGCAGTTGGTCCAACACAATACACCTTAACACCTGTCTGTAGTCATCCCAGTAATATGTTAGGTGAAAATACTTGTGTTCCGCCTTCATCAACATTGAAAAATCGTTACATAGAATCATGTTCAAAGTGAACACCTGCCTCATCAAGGATTGTGGAATCCTTTTTGATATTTTCAGTTAGATAGTTGATATATTGTTTTTTCTGTGCAGGGTAGTTTCTCAAGTGGTTAAAGTGTTTGCTCGCCACGCAGAAGGGGCGGATCTAATCCATTCTCATCATGTGTGCAATGTCGGAAGCCGAGTAAAACCGTTCTCATTTTGTACATCTCTTACCAGTCTGGTTCAGCCAAACAAGGACGATGAAGTGAAGTTCTCCTGCACTGATGCCGAGAGGTCGATGATCAGACAAGATCTGGCCACACACCTGAGTGAGCTGATCAGTGACGACGATGACAACCACGTGGGGGACGACCACAACCACGCCCGGGTACTTCGTCAGAAACCGGTCAGCGAGGGGGGTCAGTCCAGGTCCAAAAGAGACGAAGCCCACGACCACGAGGAGAACAAACAGAGTCAGACAAAGACCAAGCTGGACAAAGATGACCACCACCGACGAGAGTGGACTCAGTTGAGGAGGTGTATTGATGATAAATATCCCGACAAGACATCTGTAGATGCTGTGTGCATGTGAGTACACATTACCTGTATTTTAGTGAACATACTCATGAACACGTTGCTTTCTGTTTACCTGTAAACTTTGTGCTCCAGCAGTGATAGGTGGTAGGTCCTTTCCACTGGGGAGATGCCGGAAGGGTTTCATCAAAGCACGAGCACTAAGCTTTTCTGGCCCATAGGGTAGATATTCCAAATAATGACCTTTGACGATCACACAATGTACTATCGACAAAACGATTTGGAACTAATCACGTGAATACTGTTCTTGTAGAGATGTTCCTTTACAACACCCTATCATTGAATCTGAACACATCGAGTCAAAACAAAATTTCACATAATGCATAAACAGCATGTGATACACATGCACACATAAGTCAAAGTGGTCTACTAACTCAGCTGAGCTAATCTTAAAAGCGACAGCATGTCAACGAACAACGAACAATCTAAATTTCGAAACGTGGATATAGAGGGAGGGGTCAATGGTCTGTCCAAAAGAAAAGGTGTATTTTCTCGAATAAATGGACAAGTAACGTCAACCGGGTAGGGCTGTGTAGTGGGCCTGCTAGCTCTTATGGTCGTCTCGTTATATCAACTGTGCGACGCCATAGATTCAAACATATCAACAGAATTTCTAAAAATAACAGGAAACGATTTTCAATATTTACCGTTCAAATATTGCTACATGCAGCCCGTGTAAAGGGTGTGACTTAACAGCTAGCCAGGCGACCATATGAATATAGTCCACAACTGTAATACCGTACTAAGAAGGAAATGGAATAGCTGTATACACTTCAAAGAATTTCATTGTAGTCCAACTGTTTCAGGTTACAGAACTACAACAGAACCGTACACGTGTGTGGAAGCAAAGCGATGCACCACGCCGTGGAGAGCTTCTTCAACAAGCAGCTTCAGCATCTTCAGTGCACGTGTGATTCACTTCCATCTGGTAAGACTGAAAATGAAACAATGTTTATGTAATTTGCCTGTTGTACACTAATTGAAGAACAAACACGTGACGATCCTGGTTATAACTAATCTTCAGCAACCAATGTTTGTTTAAGAGGCGACTAACGGGATCAGGTGGTCAGGCTCGCTGACTTGGTTGACATGTCGTCGCAACCCAGTTGCGCAGATCGATGCTCATGCTGTTGATCACTGGACTGTCTGGTCCAGACCCGCTTATTTACAGACCGCCGTCATACAGCTGGAATGTTGTTGCGTGCGGCGTTAAACAACAATGAAACAAACAAACGAATAACACATGTTTTAGTCCGGAACTGTTTTTGCCCTGGCTCCCGGAACAGAACTGGTCCACAGAAATCCACGCATCGAGTAAAAGGCAACTAAATTAATACGGTGGTGACTTGACTGATTGCCGTCATCGTATGTTGCTAGAGTATTGTCGACGTCGGTGTTTGACAGCAACCAAACACTGTCAATTAAAACACATTACGCTGTGCCAACAAAGTTGGACAATATTCAGGCGGACGGAGACCCATAGAATGGGCTTCATGCATTGTACTTAGATTGGCATTGAACATTGGTCTGTAGCTGAAAGAGCGAACCCTGTCGTCAATGACTACGGGAAGCTGATAGATACGTTAAGGGATGGAAGTACGTGGTTGTGTCTTCCGTACGAGGGGCCGTCTGTTGTATCGTGACAAGTGGAATGAAGGATCTCCATACTTAGGTCGCCCGCGTGCCCGGAAATATCTGAATAACGACGTCATTATTAAGGGAGTTTCTGATGTTGAATTGTTACGCCGGACGGATGCTACACTGAACATTCAATATGAAATACACTGGATTAGAGATGATCATTGATACCAGCTGGGTTTGTTTAGATATACAATATATTATTTTTGCTTCGATCCGATGTAATAGAGATGATACTACATGAAATACATGTCAATATAGACTCGCCATTCCGCCCCCCCCCCTCTCACCCAACCCCCACTTCTTGCCATCCCCATCCCCACTCACATCCGACACAGAAGTAGACCCGACCCTCCTCCAGTCAATTACGCACGTGACATGGCGTGCCAACTAGCGTGCAGCTATTTCATCATATTTGCAGAATTGTTACAATTGCACATTTAGTTTATGTTTAAAATGCAAAATCCGAATACATTTGAATGTTTTTGGTCAGATACCAATTGTTAACATTGCCAGAGCCTTTGATGGAATCAGTATTGTCATGACATACGGTATACGATTTCGAATCCCAGCCGAGGTAACTGTTCTTCGAAAACCTGATGGAAAAGGGACAGGCTATTGGTTACATGAATTGTGTTGACCTACATATGTTAACAAGAAACCGTTATGAATATAATCCGACTAATGGGATCGGTCGGTCAGGTTCGCTGACTTGGTTGACACATGCCATCGTATCTCAGTTGCGTTGATCGATGCTCATGCTGATGACCACTGGATTGTCTAGTCCAGACTTGGTTATTTACAGACCGCCGCTATACAGCTGGAATAAATAGTATTATTGCTGATTGCGCCTTGAAACTAAACTAAGTCACTCGCTATGAATAAAATCCACATCTATGGTTCAGCGGGTATTCTAAGTGATGCTTCCAGTTCTTAAAGTATCGATCTATTTCCAGGGAGATCTCCACTCTACCTCATCATAGGGGGCGCTGTTGGCGGCTTTGTTCTCATCAGCCTCATCATCCTCTTGCTGTGTCTCGTAGTCCGCCAGAAGAAGAAAAACAAGAGAAAGAAAACCTGGGTAACTACAGCTTACCGTTGTACTTAATAAAGGTGAAACAAATATAATCCTGCCGGGTGATTGTACACACGAGACTTAACAGACTCTGGGTTGATGAACTAAACAGACAGTTACTTGTACAAGGTGATCACGACTGCCTGTACTAGGTCTCGACCCACAAAACGTTGGTAGCGCTACAACATTCGTAAGCCTGTGATAAACTATAACGCTACGACAACTCGACGTGCACAGTCAGGTGTTCTGCAACCCTATGACCGTAGGTTCGAAATTAGATGTTCTCAGAATTGTCAGCATAATACCGTTGTTCCTTGGACTCACTCACAAACCCATCCACCCACTAACCCACTCACTCACTCACACACTCTGGTGTTATCATTCTCCCAGGGACGACAAGTGGCAGGTCAGCTACGCTGCAGGCGATGCTGAGGACGCAAGCGCTTATTCGGAGATTTCTGACGTCACACTGGTAGGTATAGAGTCATCACGGATTGTCGACGTACACGAATCGTCAGACATTTAAACCGCTTGCTCCATTTTTATTTGTGTTACTGAAAAAGAACGTAACAATAGTTTTACAATTACGATACATTCAGTACTTATTTTTTAATAATTAATGTTAATCTATATCTAACACAAAGCGAATAAAGGTGTCCATATTCATTTTCATTTGTTTAAAAGAAATCGGGTGATAAAATGCACTGTGCCTGTACATGTCAGACTTAAATTACAAGGGTCGGTGTGGTAGCCTAAACGTTTTCTCTTCACGCTTAAGACCCGGGTTCGACTACCCACATAGGTGCAATGTGTGAGGCTCATTTCTGGTGTCCCCGTCATCATGTTGCTTGAATATTGCTAAAAGCGGCGTCAAACCATACTCACTCACTCACTCACTCACATATAATACAAGAGTGATTTAAACTTTGTAATTCTTAGTCTTTGGTCTACAGCGAATAACATTTGTTTGTTTGTCGACTGAATCAGGTTGGGAAGTATGTCAACTCGTACGGAAAGTATGGCTAAACGGAATTTAGAGATGACGTTTGATTCCCAATTCATGCCGGTTACGACGTATGTTATATAATCCCTGTTTCTGTTCTCAGCCTCTTAGTAAATACCGTGCACAAGCCTTGAAGCAAAAGCAGCGAGAAGGATCCCCCGGCCCGAGTCTTCCTGGCCGGTACATCAAAGTACCGCCACCTGGCACTACCAATAACAAGGATCTCGCTGGTAGCATCGAGTACCTGGAACCATGGGATTCCCCACGCTTCTCCCTCGCCGAGGTAGACTACGATGACAGTCATCAAGCCGGGGGTGATGTTGACGTCCATACTGATGCCGCAGACCGAGGGTCCTACTTCATCCCTCTTGGCAACAAGCCAGATACTGGTGAAGACTGTGGCTATGAAACGCTGACCAAAAACAAGAAAACTAGAACCAAAATGTCGAATAGAGATGAACATTCACAAGAGAATGACACTGAAAATGTTCCTGATTATTTTGTGCTTGAACCAAATAAATGAACCTTCCGACTCACACATAAGCATTCAGGTCCAGCAACTTATTTCCGATATGTGCTGCTTTAAAACATTACTTGTATGAAAAACATGGCAACATGACAACAGAGTACTACACTGATAAACAGAACACCTTGTTCTACCATCACACACATTGGTGCCGATCTACTGTCAGTGTGCAAAGATGACGTCAAAGTCCAATTCAGAAACGCCGAAAAGTATTGCCACCCATACATCACTACGAGTCGGACATGCGGTGAAAGATGATTATTGTCGTTCTTGGAATCACGTTTGACTTTGTAACCCGTACTTAGAGAGTTCATCTACCTGTCCCATGGAAGCGTCTCTTCATGCTGCTGATTCGACGTCTCGAGAGAGTCCTCTCCAATTCCCAGTCCCTGGGTCAGGACACTGAACTGGAGTGTCTCTCGCCTTCACGCGGCAGTGCACATGTACGACATGCTGACAAGTTACGGTTAAACTGTTTATCATTATATTCGGAATTAAAATTTCAAGCTCAGTGTCAGTAATCTCATAAGTTCTTAGCATTTTAATAACTGTTTGTTTGTATAGAGATAACAGTAGGTTCGTTAAGCATTGAAAAGACAGCTAGGTTTTCGCTCAAATGATGTCAAGAATTCTTAAAGGATATCGTTTGACATGGATTCTTGTGCATGATATGTTTCAACGATATGCATATATTCGTATGTAAAAGGAAAGGGCCTATCGGTGTCGATAATCAGTATAAATAACAAAGATTGATATAGGTCCCTCCTAGCATTTTACCAATGTCAAATCTCTAAAACAATCCTCCCCCAAACTAGGTTGACAATCACTCGCTGGTCTGAATAAATGTCTCGATATAAACTACATACAAACTAACGTGTTCTATGCATATACCTCACCATATGTACAGCCCATATTTTCTTTCCTGCTTGGTAAACAAAGTACATAGTTTCTGCCATGAATTTGTATTTCCGACGTGAAATAATGAAAGATTTATCTCAGCCGGTGTGGAAATATGTGGCCTGATAAAAAGGATACCCTTTCCCTTGCACGGATGTAAAAACCAGGCCAACTTCACTTTCCTTCATCTTCATTTGTAAAAATAGTGTTCCCGAAACAAAGCGACTTAATCAACATCATAGATTAATCAAAAGATGAATTTTCCATTTGTTACACCATGTGTGAAAACCCTTTTCTCGTATATATTTCGGGTAGACCAAGCGAAATGATTTCGCCCCTTCACGAGTTCACCAGCGCTGAAAACAAAAGAAATGTCTTTAGTATGTGTGGATGCATAATATATATGTATATATCATGTATATATAATGAATCATAAATGTGTATAGCCTTTCGATGCATATTTTTGTAACTTATATATTTGTAACTTATATTTTTGTAACTTTCGTGTGTTTTGTATCTATGGCAAAACAATATTGTGCTTGATACATCCTTTGGACTTGACAAGTTATGGGGAAGCTTAATAAATAAACTATTTAAATAGATCTGTGTAGTTTTCTTCTATCTGTTTTTCTTTAATTTAAGTCTTATATTTCCCATTGTCATGTATTACAAAAAAGATGTACAGTGACATGTATAAAAATACATAACAGGATTATGGAGCATGAAATACAAATAGCACAAGGTACATACAACATGTAGCACAGAAATATGTGTCAATTTATAATATTGTACAACAGATGGCACACAAGCCATAATATATTATAAATATTATTCTTAACTGGCAATGATGTACAGAAAATAGGTTGTGTAGAGTATTTGCCAGTTTCTGCAAGAAAAGAGTTTTTTTTATATTTGACCCCGGGGAAGATTGTATTTTAAGTCTCTGCAAACAAAGAATGAAATGATGACCAAAATGTGAATAAACTTCAGTATTTACAATTTTGGAAATAGTTTATCTTTGTTGCCTCATAGTTGTTAAGTATCTCTCTTAACATGTACCCGTGAAGATCATGCTTAGAATTGATCTTCAGTAACCCATGCTTGGCGTAAGAGGCAACTAACGGGTTCGGGTGGTCAGGCTCACTGACTTGGTTGACACACGTCATCGGTTCCCAATTGCGCAGATCGATGCTCATGCTGTTGATCACTGGATTGTCTGGGCAACACTCGATTATTTACAGACCGCCACCATATAGCTGGAATATTGCTGAGTGCGGCGTAAAACAAAAAACACTCACTCACTCTCTTAACATGTTTAAAACATGGTTTGGTTTTCTGTTTACTGCCATTATAAATATTTTGTTGGCGATAATACTGATGACATTCAATGGATTGTTATGTTTTCCTTCAAATCCAAGAATTTTTTTTTTTCATTTGTAGAAACAATTCTTCGGCAGCTACAGCGTTTAACCAATCCGACAAGCCACTCCATAATCCAAGTGTATAATCACATTCACATAACAAATGAATAACTGTTGCAGGTTCAGCTTCACAAGAACCTATATTTATCGCCAGAGACAACATGTGGGATCAGGTGGCCAAAATCTATGACTTAGTTAAAAAAAATATACAGATCGATAATGTCAATCACTAGATGCCTGGTCCGGACTCAATCATTAACAGTACACGTACAGAATTAAAATTTCAAATCTGAAATTGAAAGTACAGTCTGCTTATGGCTCTGAGATTTACCAGTGTTAGACTCTGCTGGTGAGTTCTACTGAAGTGGCGAAGGTCTGCGACTTGCGCTACTCCGGGGCTTCACCCCTTATGAAGCTGACACGCCAAGATCAGGATATACTTAATCTCATAATTTACACAGTTACAAATTTCATTTTTGTTTTTCTGGAAATGTTTTTTTATATTATTATCACACTGATAGCAGCATGAGAGAAAATATACATAATTACACGTAAAATTGATATTTCCATGAAAATGAACAAGATCGATCTTGGACATATTTTGTTAACCATCAGGAACAGTAGATGCCGATTTACACAATTTCATATTAATAATAGATTATCCATAAATTGTATACGTGTTTGAATCTCTACAAAGCAGTAGTTGCTTAGTTGTTGCAAATAATAGAGGACAAAGATAGCCTCATTGACGTGGAGACACCCAATAGGGACGATATCAATTCTTGGTCATCAGATACAGTGGGCAGGGGGATTCATCCCACTGTCGGTGATACGGGGTTGCTCCTAAACTCGTCGTTCAGTGTCAGCAATATTATTGTATTCAGCAACATTACAGGTATAAATGCCAAGATCGACACCACCAACATATAACGCATGATTGTAGCAAATTTAAATTAAAATCAAGTACGATTCGCATCGGGTATTCAAATCGGTCAAATATTATACACTCATGTTTTTTCATGTTGCTGTGTACACAGATCAAATTTCAGAATCCAAATGTCGAATAATTGTTATTCAGAATGCAAAGTAAATATGAAAACAACCCAGTTTTCAAGGTTCTAAATCATCCACATCTGCCGATGCCCATAAATGAAACCAAAAAAAGCTTAGGAATGTATTTCCACCCGAAATAGATTGCACCCAGCCATACGTGTATCGTATTACGTAAACCATAACTACAACCACGTTAGGACGTATCTAGTCACGTGGTAACGTACGTCGGAGAACAGCTTAAATACGGTGTGCGCTGTGACAGCATTCACTTCTACAGAGCCGGGTAACGCTACAAGGTAAGAGATGTTGTCGCAACAAACGATGCGAGGTTAACCCTCTGTACATGTAATTATGGAAACGAATAAGGGAACACATGAAAGTGCAAGTGTTCCCTTATTTATTTCACCCACAGTGCTGTACATACCTTGTGAAGAAACCAGGAAAAGAATTTTGGAACACTTGTACTTTCATGTGTTCCTTATTCGTTACCATGAGTATATTTGTATGACCACAGGGGTGTGGTTTAAGGTCGCGTTGAAGATGATTTGATTAAAAAATGGTGGCGTGTGGTCCTGTGCACAGAACTCAGGTCACGAATCAGTTGAAGTTAAGCAACGTCGAGCTCGGACAGTCCTTGGATGGGTGACCGTGTTTGACAGCTTGACTCCTGAGAGTTTCAAGGACTTCACTCCTGCCCCACAACAAAGCACATGTGATACCTGTAGTCTCACCTAAGGCAAGTGAGTTTGTTCCAAATTGCTTCTGTTCACCCAGCAGAAAATGGGTACCCGGTTGGATAAAGTCATGTGACTATAACCTTCTAGCTTGGGTTATCCGGGGTAATAAGAATCAGATTCTGATGACTTATTATTTATTATTATTATAAGTGTGCGTGTGTGTGTCTGTGTGCGTGCATGCATGCGTATATAGGTTCTGCCTGTCCGGATTAATCCCTGTGTCATAGTGCTAGCCCACTGAATTAACATGCCCTAGTACAACTTTGATACCCAGACACAGTGTACACATGTGGACCAGTCCATATTTCGACCCATTTATGTCGAGAAGCAGACAGGGTAACAACAAGTACCACATTGTGACGTCATTTGGTATGACGTGGCCAGGGAATTGACTAGGGCTGGGACCCAGGCCCTCGTGTCTTTGCGAGGATTAAAGATTTAAAAAAAACATTAATCATTTGAGATGATGTCATAATGTATTGTACTGTGTAGCAAAGACACGAGGGCCTATGGGCTGGGACGGGTCCAAATTTCAACCGGATACCCCACCCCTATTACCCTACCCTACCCGGATACCCGTTATGTTGATTCCTGACATCAAATTTGCCATCAAAAGGCAATATAGTCTTCAGCTTGGAGGCTAAAATTTGGAGTTTTTCAATATCTTAACCATGTCTTCCTTAAGTGGCATTTAGAAGCTGGTATGATGAAGAGGAAAACACTTTTTATGGGTGATGCTTGATAATGGTGTTAGGATCTACACCGACACGTCGCATCCACTGCAATAATGCAATAAAGAAGTTGTCTATCCATAAACAAGTTTCCCTCTTCATCTTAACCATGTATTATGTTCACAAGAAGTGACTGTAGATCATGTCCAAATCTTCCAAGACGATACAACCTGTTCAT